CAGGAGTACCTGCCCAGGGATGGTACCATCCATAGTGGGCTGAGCTCTTGAACATCAACCATCAATAAAGAAAATCCACCTCAAGCTTGCCTACAGGCCAATCTGATGGAGGCATTTTCTCAGTTAAGTTCCTTCTTTTCACAATGATGAAAATCTAACCAGCATTCTCTGTTTCTTATAATATGCTGACACATGTAGCTATAACATAAAAGATGGTTTGCTATGTTTGTTAAGGTTTTCAACATCGGATCCCTGCTGTATCACTGCTGCAATACTTACTATTTTAGTTTTCATTTTATTTACCTTGTTTGTTTGTTCGTTTGTTTGTTTTCCCATACAGGGTTTCTCTATGTGACTCTGAAGGTCCTGGAACTCACTCTGTAGACAGAAATATGCCTGCCTCTGCCTCCTAGGTACTGAGATTAAAGGCGTGCACCACCACCACCTAGACACTTCATTACTTTTTGTGACAAGTAGGTTTTTTTCTCCCACTGCTGGTCTTGTCCTGCCACTGTGCCATCCCCAAATAATACACAAAGAGACGCTGTATTTGATATAAGTCTGTTGGTCAGTTACATGTTTTTCATCAGCTAGCTCTGTCTTAAGTATTAGCCCATTTCTGTTAATCTATGTATTTCTATGTGGTCTCATCTTACTGGACAGCTGGCTGGCGTCCTGCTCTCTCCAGACTCTCTATCTTGACTCCTCCTTAATACTTCCTCGAATCCTCCTTGTCTCCTACTCCCGCCTATCTTGCTTTCCTATTGGCCAACGGTGCTTTATTCATTAACCAGTATGAGAAACGTATTTACAGAATAGCATCTCCCATCATCTCCTCTTTTTTGTCTAAAATAAAAAGAAGGGGTTTAACCTTAATGTAGCAAAATATATCACAGAAAGGTTATCAAATAAGAATCACAGTTAACAATATTTAGTAAGATTTAAGAAAATATTTCATCATCTATTCTATCTTTGTGAGTCTAAAGTCCTATATGTAACTTATCTTTAATCCTAACTAAGGAAAACTATATCTGTCTTCAACTCCTTCAAAGACCACAGAAGGATAATATATAAACTCTAGAAATGACAGAGACAACTCACTGCCTGGTCAGTCACCCAAAGTTCTTTTGTAATGTTCCATCTTCAGCCCATAGGCCATAGTGTGTCTGGCAGACTCCTCAGCAAAGCAGGAAACTTTAAACTGTCTCCTTGTAGTGGCAGTTTGTCAGTCACTTTTCTCTGTGTCCTGCAGACTGTCTGGCAGACTCTTCCATGAAGCAGGACCATTGTAGCAATGTCCATCTTGAATCAGCAGTCACTTTTCTATGGGTCCTGCATGTCCAGTTTATATAGCATAAAGTCAAACAGTCCAGGCAAGAGCAGTATCTTGTCCAAATGGCTAGTCTTGCCATATTGGAAGTAAACTTCATAACGAGTTTCTTCAATGTCCATCTTCCTTTTTGACGCAGATGGTGTTGCCAGGAGCAATTGTGCCTCATTGTCAAGAAAAACCCTAAACCATTTTAAATGCCATATTCTATAGGTCTTTGAAAGGTTTGAAGAATGCCTATTTATCTCAAATACATGTCTGTATATCTAGAAATCTTAACTAATTTAACTATAAAATTTGACTATTAGAGGTACTATCTATAATCTGTATTGAATTATACATTACATTTCTCTAAATGAGCTATGTAAACACAATACTTAAACAAAAGGAGAAATACACACATCACAAAATTGACCTTAAATTGTATCAATAAATGAAAATCCATTCCAAAGCAAAGTATCCATTTCTATACCATAATCCCCTTTTTACCTTTAAAAAGAATTGGCTGTGATCATTAACCAATTATAACCAACTCCATTTAAATGAAAACAAACATTTATAAACAATATTTGGGAATTTGGGCGTCTTTTTTTTTAACTACTTTTTGCTGATAGGGGGCGCTGTCATGGAGCTCATAAGAGGTCGTAGAAATCCTGGCTGTAGTCTGTAAGGCTGCCTTGTTTAAGCTGTTTTGAATGTTGGATCACCAGGAAATCTGTTTCAGGGGGTCTGACTTGATCAAACCACAATAGTCTGGAAGGAATCCACAGTTTTTTTTTTATTTTTTGTGGAAACAAAAATAGAAATCTTTTTCTCCAGTAACTTGTACTTAGACTTAAATTTTGGAATTAAAGCATTTTTAAAATATATAAATTGGATTGATTCAGTAGTATTTGTTTTAACAGTTGCTATCTAAGGAGTAGGTTTTTCCTCCAGTCACTGGTTTTGTCCCGCCGCCGTGCCAGCCACAAATAACGCACAGAGACCCTGTATTTGATATAATGCTGTTGGCCAGTTACTTGTTTCTTATCAGCTAGCTCTGTCTTAAGTATTAACCCATTTCTGTTAATCTATGTATTTCCACGTGGTTTCATCTTACCGGGGAATGGGCTGGCATTGTGCTATCCCTGATCTCTCCATCTTGACTCCTCCTTCCTCCCTCCTCTTTCCTCCTTGTCTCCTAGTCCCTCCTCTCTTGCTTTCCTATTGGCCAACAGTGCTTTATTCATTAACTAGTATGAGAAACATATTTACAGAATGACATCTCCCATCAACTTTTAATTCTGTGTGTGCGTGCTTGTGGAGCTGCATGTATATGTACATATGTGTGTGTATGCATGTGTGTGGAGGTCAGAGGACAACCTCAGGTGTCAGGAACACTGTTTACCTTTACAGTGTCTCTTTGTTGGCCTGCAGTTCATCAATTAAGCTAGATTGGCAGGGCAGTGAGCCCCAGGGATCCTCCTCCTATCTGTTATCCTAGCTCTAGGATTACAAACTTGTCCTACCATACTGAGTTGCTGATTTTTTGGATTTTGTTGTTTTGTTTTGTCTTGTTTTTGGTTTCTGTTTTTTATTTTGAGACAGGGTCTCATTATATAGCCTTGCCTGCCCTGGAGCTCATTATGCAGAATAGTCTGGCCTCAGTGTCATGGAGACCCCCCAGCCTCTGACTTCTTTGTGCTGAAATTAAGGGCCTGTGCCACCATGTTCAGTCATATTGAGTATTTTTAATGGCTTCTGGGGATAGGACTTGGGTCCTAATGCTTATAAAGCAAGCACTCTATCAACTGAGACATCTTTCCAGCCCTACTTTTTTCATTATCTGGTTGTTTGTTTTGAGACAGGATTTTAGGTACCCCAAGCTGGCCCAAGATTTGCTATGTAGCTAAGCATAAGGACGACCTTGAACTTCTGAACATCTAATTGTCCTTTCTCTATCTTCCAAGTGCTGGAGTCCCAGGTGTGTGTGTGTGTGTGTGTGTGTGTGTGTGTGTGTGTGTGTGTGTGTGTGTGTGCATGTTTGCTCATGCACAAACACACGGAGACTAGAAAAGAGCATCAGATTCCCTGGAACTGAGGTTAACAAGTGGTTGTAAACTGCCTGATGCAGGTGCTGGGAGCCAAACTCTAGTCCTCTGAAAGAATAGCAAGCACTCTTAACTGCTGAGCCATCCATCTCCCCTGCCCATATCTCTTTCTTCTTAACAAACACATAACATTGCATGGCAAACACAGACCTAGTTTAGTCAACTCTTTGCTGTATCTACTTTTGCTAACACAAATGATCAGTGGTTAACATGTTCTTTCACATACTCCTTCAGAATGGTGTGGGTCCCCCCCTTGGGTGGATTCCCAAAAGTGGGTGTTTCCCTCCCCGCTTTGGTGGAGATGGCCATATTATATTAACGTCTAAAGATCCCAGCAGCAGTTCACATTCCCATGAGCAAGGTTTGAACACTCCTTTTCCTTCCTCCCTACCAGCTCAGGCATTTGCTCTTATGTTTCCATATTTATGGGTTAAAAACAATACATACACTGCATCTTCAACTGTGTTTGTTTAATTCCTTCTAAACTGCAGTGATGACTTATTTTAGCTACTTTAGTTTTTCAGTTTTGAAGGTTCTATTGGGCTCAAAAAAATCTTCCCAGTCTTTAAAAAAAAAATATTTCTTGATCTTTACTCATATTAAGGTTTCTGTTTGGTTTTGTAGATGTATGGATAGGACTCGGGACCTGGTTATGCTGGGCAAGGGCACTACCACTTAGCCACACCTGCAGCCCATATTTTAGATGCCCTCTTTTATTCAATGACATTAAATATGCTCACACTGTACACCGGGCAGTGTCTGAGGGGCTTGTGCTTGTGTCTGTTGACTTTTCCTAATGTTACTTTGTTTCCTTTTGTGGTTTGTGGTTTTGGGCCTTGTTTGAGGGACCCCTTGTTATCTGTGTACACTCTTTGAAAGTTGGCTTGATTGTACTTTACTCAGGGAGGGTTTCGTTTTCTCCTTCTTTCCCTTTTTCTTATCTCTCCTCTTTCCTTGTGGGGTGTGTGCATGTCTATGTTTTGCTGGGGGTCAAACCCAGATTTCGTACATGCTACCACTGCTCTATGTCCCAGTCTCCTCGGGTTTTATTTTCTTTGCCAAGTGTGTAGTTGCACTATCTAGTAAGTTTTGTTTAAGTTTCTGGTTGTTGTTGACCATTCTGGGCTCCTGGAGGGTAAGTATTTTTTAGAGAAGACTTTTCTCACTCAGAACTAAGGAATTGAACAGGCGAGTTTCATAACACTTGCCTCTGAGTAGCAGTTTTGGGTTTTTTGTTTCGTTTTGTTTTTTCTTCTAATTTGCTATTTTATATTTTCTGGTCTGACATTCTGCCCTCTGAGAGCCCCAGGATTGTCTCCTAGTACCCCTTCGCTGAGAAGTAATAGGTTACTTTAAGTTTATGACAGCCCAAAGAACAAATGGGGTCCATGCTCAAAATCTCAGCTTTTTAACCCAGCTAAACTTCGAGTGTTTTCCAAAAGAGGCAAGGGGGTGTTCCTCGGGGGCGGGGAGTCACGAGCCTTTTCCGCTGGGAAATTTTCGATACGTGGCAGGACTGTGTTTCCTGCCCATAAGTTATCTGCCCAAGGCAGTGAGTGCTGTGTAGTCAGTGCGAGCTGTCCTTTCCCGCCAGGATGAGCCTGCCCGCAAACCAACTCAAGGAGCCCAGCCAGGAGTCACTACCCTCAAACCAGCTCAAGGAGTCCGGGGTCGGGATCGTCTGCTCTGATCCGGATGTCGTAAGTGCACCCCTGCGGAGCAGCTGCTAAGTTGCCCTAACTGCCCCAAACTCCTCCGTGCACTTTACTAGCTCCGTTCCATTTTCGTTCGCCCACCCTCCTGTAGTTCCCCCCATCCCCACCCCCACCCACGAGGAGCATTTTTTTATTATTTAAATTTTTTTATTTTTTTTCTTATTTTACATATCGATCCCAGTTCCCTCTCCCTCCCATCCTCCCATGCCTCCCCTCATCCTATTCCCCACCCATCATTCCCCAGGGAGGGTGAACCTTCCAGGAAGAAGCCTCAAAATCTGCCAAGTAATTTGGGTGGGGCCTAGGCTTTCTTTAGCATCTCTAGGCTAAGGGAGCATCCCTCCATGGGAATGTTTGGGGGAGCATTCTTTTGCTCCAGTCAGTAAACTCTTTCCTTTCATGTGTGTTCCTGCCTCCAGCTCCAGCAAACTCTGTGGAGTCTCTCATTTGCTTTTTTCTTACCTGGATCTACTTAACTTTGTTTTAGTTTGTGTGTGTGTGTCCCCTCTGAAAAACCCTGGATTGTTGTAGTCGGGGATGAGGGTTGGGGTGGGGAGGGTACTTCAGTCTGTCCCTTTTCTCTGCCAGCTCCAGCACTCCCTCTCTCTGCTCCAAAGAGTACCCTGCTTGCTTACCTTCTCTCGTGAATTGGGTCAGAGGATTTTGGGAGTGCAAACCGGGTTTGCTGTCTGCAAAGCCAGGAGGAAAAGAAGAGAGAGATTAGTTAATGAGGCTAAGACTGGAGCTGTTCTCACAGCAGTGCTAGACCTCAAGAAGGAAGGGTGGGCATTTTCTTGTAGCAGTCTACATGTCCAGACAGGAAAGCATGTACGTTTTAGTTCATAGCTCTCATGCTCAAAACCTTTAAGGAGGCCACTTAGGCCCAGGGTGTGGCTCTGTGGTGGAGACAGCTTGCTAGTACTAGGGAGGATCGGACTCAAATCGCAAGCACTGCCAACAAAACAGAAACAACAAATGCTAATAATCATGCTTTAACTGAATTCCAGAGCACATACCTACAACCCTGCTTGGGCTTCTGGAGACTGTCTTTGAAAAAAAAGGAAAGATGGCCAACATGAATTCTTCTCGGACATGCTCACTCTGTATTATAGCAGTTATCTAAAAGAATACATCAGAAAACTCAATGAATTTCTCCAGAAGTTCAGTTGAAATAAAAGAAATGACAACTTTGAGGGTGTGTGTTAAGTAGGTGACACGTCCCCTTTAGTGTAGACGTTAGTCCCTAAAGGTGTCTGCCTCAATTAGCTGCTAACAGAGGGTCTGGGTATACTCCAAAAGAATAAAATTCTCATTCTAATCAAGATAGAGTAAGGCGAGAGAACAGACCCAGCAGCAGGGAAAGTGGCTCTTTCCAATAGGTCATGAGAATATGTCATCATGGGCTGTTTGCAAATCTACCTGCCTAGTGTCAAAGTGCTCAACACTCAGGGTGTTCCATCTTCCCTGCTCAAGAAGGGCTTAAATGAGTCCTGGGCGAAGGTCATGCATGGAGCCAGCACTGAGTGTGATGCCAGGTAGGGCAAGATCTGCATTTATCAGAATACCAGATTCTGTTATGGATCGGGGCCAAGGTATTCAACATGACAGGTATTCATTCATTGAGTGTTTCTGGTGTGCTCTGCCCTGCTAGTCGGTGCTGATGATATGTATGGGCTAGGACTAGTGTCCCCCTTTCAAACTTCCCAGTCTAATGGAGGATGAACGAACAGGGGATTCCAAGGGAGCAACTACTGTAACAGTAGAATTGCATGTTGAGCTGGGTGTTGGTGATGCACTCCTTTAGTCCGAGCACCCGGGAGGTGGATCTCTGTGAATTCGAGGCCAGCCTGGTCTACAGAGCTAGTTCCAGGACAGGCTCCAAAGCCACAGAGAAACCCTGTCTTGAAAAAACAAAACAAAACAAAACAAAACAAACTACATGTTACTCTGGGGCAGAAAACCACCCTTCTGGAAGACTCCTGGGGAACTATGGTGACTCATGTCTTTAATCCCAGCACTTGGGAGGCAGAGGCACATGGATCTCTGAGTTTAAGGACAACCTGGTCTACAGAGCAAGTTCCAGTATACACAAACCCTGTCTTAGAAAAGCAAAAGGATAAGAAAGAAATAAAGAAAGGAAGAAAGAAAGATGGAAGACTCAGTGATAGGAAGGTAATCTGCAGGAGACTGAAGTCCTGGAGGCCTGGACACCATCCTGCCATGGATAGAAAGAGGGGTGCAGTAGGTAATTTTGTTCTTTGCTTGAGGCCAAGCAGTAGGCCTTTTGCAAAGAGCCCTGGTAACCTCAAGCCATTCAAACGTTCAATGCAGGAGACTCAGGTTTGTGTCAGAGAAGAAAGAACTCTGGTTTCAATGTGTGGGCTGCATCCTGGTAGGCCCTAGCAAGGGGTAAGCCATCCTGGAACTTGCCAAACAGAACTGCCAGGACTTCGTGTTGAGTGAGTGTGGGAGAGACTGAGATGGAGGAGAAGCCATATTATCCTTGGCTTCTGGTTCAGCTAAAATGGGAAACAACAGGAGAGGTTAGTGTTGGGAGTTAGAGATCTTGGGGCCTAAAGAACATCTGAGTGAAGGTGATCTCGGAAAATGTATGAGTGTTGATGTCACTCATTCACTCAGCAGAGGGGATCTCAGGAAATGTATGAGTGCTGGGTTGAGGAGGGCAAGGCATAGGGACCCTTCTGACAGAACAGGATGAGAGATGAGTCTGGTCCACTCCTGCATCTCCATGGCTATCACAGACTTGACACCCAGCAGGTTCCTCCTGAAGCAAAGTCTCTCCCAGGCAGTAACCACGGGCTTTCCCACCCACCCAGGGACTGGCAAGGGGACTGATAGTAAAGACAGAGGGGCCTTCCTCCAGGAACACACTGGGCAGTGTTTTGGATAAGATAGGAAGCACAGAGGCTGGGAACTTTGCGGGGGCAGGGGGTTGGAGAAGTTGGGGGAGTGGGAAGGTGTGGTAGGGAATAAAAACAAAAAAAGGAACGGGATAAAGCAGCTTGTGGACAGGGCTGAAGTCTTATTTGATAAAAGAATGGGGCACAGGATGTTAGAGCAGGAGACTCTATCCCTTTTGTTTGAAACGTGGTCTTATTGTATAGCCAAATACAATAATATGTCATGTTCCTCCCAAGTGCTAAATGATGTACAAGCTACCAAGGAAACTGGTTTCTGTAAATTAGCTTCAGAAAGAATGTTTTTGGTTGTTTGTTTTTTGCATTTATTTATTTATTTATTTATTTATTTATTTATTTATTTATTTTTGAGACAGGGTTCACTGTGTAGTTCTGGCTGTCCTGGAATTCACTATGTAGACCAGACTAGCCTCAAACTCAGAGATTTGCCTGCCTCTGCCTGCCGAGTGCTGGGATTAAAGGTGTGCACCACCACTGCCTGGCCAGAAAAGACCAGTGAAGTGATGGGTGGATTCAACTTTGAGAGTTGGAAGGATTTGCGTTCTCTGTCCATTTTGCTTCCATTTTCACAGACACCGAAGCTGAAGGTAGAGAAAGGTAGTGACCTTCTCCAGTCACAGAGCCAATATTGGCTGCAGTGAGGCAGCAGCTGGGGTGGGCTGGAACACCCATCCTAAAGTAAGCCAGGCTGACTGATGGGCATTTGATCCTAGCTGCACTTCATTCCTCCGTGTTTTGTGAATCTTTTTCTCTGGGTGTTCTTTGTCTGTAATATTAGACTATTGAGAGGACCTAGGAGCTGAGCTCCAGGGGAGTAGGGATGCCATCATACTAATTTATTCAGGGTTAGTCTGTGCTACTTGAAAAACTGCCTGCTTCATAGAGGTGATCTCAAGGTTATCCAAATAGCCTTGCCAAGGAGCCTTGAAGTTTAGAGGAGGCAGAAGGACATAGGTTCTGAGCTTATTTTTATGAGCTATTTGGTCTGGGTTCTTCTCCCGCCATCTCCTCTCTAGATGGCTGAAATGGACCCTGTAGGACTTGTTGCCATGGCAACTTAGTGCTCTCTCTCTCTCTTTTTTTTTTTTTTGTATGTTTTTTTTTTGTTTGTTTTGTTTTGTTTTGTTTTTATTCCCCCCAGCAGCGTGCTTGCCTTTGGCTCTCCTAATTCCAATACAGTACTTAAAATCCTAAGAGGCAGTGCAACAGACAGGTTGAGAATGAGGTCATGCCTGCATCAAACTGAAGGACTGGCCCCATCACTGGTCTCCACACTGGCTTGTGCTTGAACATTCAGGTTGAAAATCCAGCCTTAACCTTTATCACTACACAGAGGTTTTTTGTTTGAATGTTGTTTGTTTTGTAGCAGCAGACATCACATCCTATAATAAGTTTTAGCTATGTCTCCTGGACGTGCATTGTTGGTTCACTATACCTTTTGTGTCTGCAGGTGGTGGAGCTAAATGTTGGGGGGCAGTTCTACACCACTACTATGGGCACCCTGCTGAAACATCCAGGCTCCAAGTTTTCACAGATACTATCCCGGTCAGCAAAACACTACAGGGATGCACAGGGTCGCTTCTTCATTGATCGTCCTGGTACCTACTTTGGTCCTATCTTGGACTACCTACGCACCGGGAAAGTGCCCACAGAGTGCATCCCTGAGGTATACCATGAGGCTAAGTTCTACCAAATCCATCTCTTGGTCAAGATGTTGGAGGATATGCCACAAATCTTTGGCGAACAGGTGGCTCGAATGCAGTTCTTGCTGGGTGTGCCAAACTACAGAGAGAACCTGGAGGTCTTGCTGCACCTGGCTCGGGCAGAGGCTGTGGCAATGCGCTTGTCAAAGGTGGTGGTGTGTGTGGTGCACACAGAAGAGGAAGAAGCAAAGTGTGTGGAGCCGTTGCATATCTTGGAGGCCAAAAAGACACCTGTTGTCAAATTTGGTCCCTGGAAGGCAGGCCCCAAGACGGAGGACTTTGTGTACTGCCTGGAGAAGGACATTAAAGACCAGGGGTATAATGTGTCCATTCAGAGGTACCACCTGAATAGGAACCCCTACACATGCTTCTGGATATTCGTCTTCACTTGGTGGTGATTCCTAGGAGCTGGGATTGTTTGTTAGGGGCTGTGGTGACTTGCCATCCAAATCCATGCTCTAAATTTGAGTCTGTAGTTCCAGCACTTGGGAGGTTGAGATAAGATGACTACCATGGGTTCAAGGCCAGCCTTAGATATAGGTTGAAACCTTATTGAAATGGCTCAGGAGAGGCCAGGCTATACTGACTCCACACCTGCTCCTCTTATGAGTGAGCCATATCTTGCTTGCCAGAACAAAGTAGGGTTTCTCCCATTTTCTGAGAAATGAAGCTTGTCAAATGTTTAACAGATCAAAGGGTTCCTCCTTTCTTGCTGGGAAATAAACATAATATAATTCCCTTAGCCTATGCCTAGTGTGATATAATAGTGACTTTGTCTTTTAAACTCTGTGGTGCTCATCTTAGGGGCCAAGAGTTCTTTGTGGCCGGAGTCTAAAATCAGTCACAGATTAAATAAAGGACTCTTATCTGATTTCATGTCCGTGATGGTCTGTAACTTCCTCTAGTGGATTGTAACATTCTCTTTACAACACCAGGCCTTGCCTGGTGGCCCACACCTTTAATCCCAGCAAGGAGGCAGTCCAGGTGGATCTCTGAGTTCAAGACCAACCTGGGCTACAGAGGGAGTTCCAGGATAGCCAGAGAAATACAGAGAAGCCCTATGTCAAAAACCATGAAAACAAACAAAAAACCAGTGGATAAACACTTTGGTGTGTGAGCCCAGTGCCTTAAGTTGGATCTCTAGTGCCCACAATCAAAGAACAGAGCCAACTTTTTATTTATTTATTCCTTTAAATTTCATTTTACATTCCAACCAGTTTTCCCTCCTACCCTTCCTCCCCCTCCTCTTCCCCCCATCCTAACCCCAGTCTAATCCTCCTCATGGGCAAGGGCTCCATGAGGAGTCAATAAATTTGGACACAGTAGGTTGGGGCAGAGCCAAGCCCCTCTCCCATGCATAGGGCTGAGCATGACATCCCACCATATGGAATGGGCTCCAACAAGCTAGATCATGTACCAGGTTTGTATCATGGTTCTACTGCCAGAGGCCCCTCAGATGGTCCAAGCTTCACAACTGTCTCCCACATATAAAGGGTTAGTTTGGTTCCCTGGAGGCTCCATAGCTGTCAGTCTAGAGTTTATGAGTTTCTAAGAGCTTGGTTCAGCTGCTCATATGTTCCCTCCTCCCTCACTTTGACTGGTTTCCTGGAACTCTGCCTGTGGATCTCTGTGTCTGGTCCCATGGTTTTACTAGAGGAAGGCTCTCTCAGTCCTCTGTGCCCAGAACCAACTTTTAAGAATTATCCTCTGACCTCCACAGATATGCCATGGCATACATGTACCTATGTGGATGTGCACACATACATACACAGACATGTACACATACCCCTAAAAGCTACAACATGGGTCTGAAAAGATGGCTCAGTAGATAAGAGCTTTTGAAGAAGACCTGGGTTTGGTTCCCAGCACCCTGGTGCAGTGGTTTACAACTTAACTGCTTATAACTTCAGCTCCAGGCTGTCCAGTGCCCTCTTTTGGTCGCCATGAGCAACTACATCCTCATGCATATACCTTCACACAGATACACATCATTTTTTAAAATGTTAAAACAAGGAGCTAGCAAGATGGCTCACCAGTAAAAGGCACTTGCTGCCAAGGATGACACCCCAAGCTTCATCCCTGGGACCCACACACAAGAGAAGAGAGAATTGTATCCTATAAGTTGCCCTTTGGCTTACACACATAGATAGATACATAGATAGATAGATAGATCTTAAGCTGTTTTCTAGCCAGGCACAATGGCATATGCTTGTAATTCCAGAGTTTGTGAGGTTGAGACAGGAGGACCACATACTTAAGACAACTTCTGGCTACATAATGAGATGCTGTATCAAAATCAGAAATCAGAAACAAAATACTTACCCAAACAATTGGCAGGCAGGTCTGAACCTGGAGCTGCTATAGGGCTCACTCACTTCAGGAGTTAGAAAAGAATTGCCCAGCCTTTTGAAGAAACAGTAAGACTTAGCTCACTTTAACCCCTTCAAAACAGGGACGGGGGGCAAATATTTTCTGGTATATTGGTTGCTTTCCTGTTCATGACCAAGGCAACCTTATAGAGGTATTCTCTCTCTCTCTCTTTTTTTTTTTTGAAGGGGGGTGCAGGAACTAACAGTTCTAGAGGGTAAGAGTCCATCAGGGCAGGGATTGGTGGTAGGAGGCAGCATATGTGGTGGTAGGACCAGCTGACAACTCACACCTGAAACCACAAGCAATAAACAGAGTGAATTGGAAAAGATGCATGGCTTTTCAAACTTCCCTGTGACATACTTCCTCCAGCAAGGTCACACCTCCTAAAGCTATCCAAATAGCGCCAACACCTGGTGACCAAGTATTGAAACATCTGAGCACTCGGGGACAATCTCATTCAAACCACCACATCTGGGGATGTGGACCTGCAGAGCAGTACTCGTCCAGTACACACTTGGGATGATATACAGTGCTGAGAAATCTAAAAAGAATAAAATCTTCTCTTGTTTTGTTAGACCCTAAATCTGGAGTTCTGATGGGCCGGTGGGAGAGCCCCGCGACCCAAACGCCAAAACCAGGAGATGCAACAAGCAAGAGGTGTTTATTGAACAAGTGCACTCGGGTGTCAGCAATCTTGGGGAAAGCTGCACACCCCCCCCCAAAGGGTTCAGGCTCCTTTTTTATAGAGAAAGGCCGCAATCAGCATACATGAATGGGGCACAAGGCGACTAATTACAAAGTATGATCTCATGTTTGAGAGATCACCAGGTATGACCTGTTCTTATTCAAAGGATAAACCATAGAATGGCTTGGAAAGTCTCCAGACTGTCCGTTGGCTAGGAGTGACCCAGACAGGGCTGTTCATCTGGAATCATTTGTTCCAGGGTTGGGGGCCTATTTCTTTGTTGTGGGCCAAGACCTGTGAGAAACTTTTTTCACACTCTGGCTTTCTCTCAGCTGTACATTTAGAGCCTTCAGTTATCACAAGAGATTGATGATTCAGTTACTATTTAACAGAATCAGCCCAGCATGACCACTAACTAGCCCCATCGCCATAGTAACTTTCTTGTTCTCATAATTTCTGTCCTTTCCTCCCATGTCAATGTCCATTCTCTATGATTTTCTATATTCTGCTTGCAAGAATTATTCTCCTGTCCCTTTCCTACATCCTTGTTCTGCAAACTAAAATCTTTCAGTTTTTAGAGACAGGATTTCTCAGTGTAGCTTTGGATCCCATCCTGGAACTTGTTCTATAGACCAAGCTGGCCTTGAACTCACAGAGATCCACCTGACTCTGCCTCCTGGGTCCTGGGATTAAAGGCATGGTCTAAAATATTAAATTTAATGTATAATCTATTTTGACTATTGTGGCATAAGTTTTTTGTTTTGATTTAGGTTTTCAGTTTTTTGAGAGAGTTTTCTGTGTAGCCCTGGCTGTCCTGGAACTCTCTCTGTTGACTGAACTGGCCTCAAACTCACAGACATATGCCTTCTTCTGCCTCTTGAGTATTAGGACTGAAGGTGCACACCACCACTGCCTAGGGCATAGGTATTTTACGGATGTATTTTTTTTAAAACATTGAGATGTAATTGAAGTTCACACAACAGACTTGGTTATTAGGAAACTTAATTCAGTGGTTCTCACATTGGCTGCATGTTGGAATTAATCAAGCAGCTTTAAAAAGTATGCCTGGGCCCAATCCCTAGAAATTATATTTTAATTGTGGCATGTGGTCTGAATACTGGGTTTTTTGGTTTTTTTTTTTAATCTCCCCTAGATATTTCTTTTCAAATTATTTTTATTAGATCTAATTATTATATATACATATATATATATAAGCATTTTTGCTTGTATGTGTATATATACACCATGTATAAGCCTAATGTCTGTGGAGGTCAGAAAAGTCACCTCGAACTGGAGTTATGGATGGTTTTGAGCCACCATGTGGACATTGGGAAACAAACCCAGGTCCTTGCAAGAGCTTTTAACCCCTGCGCTATCTTCCTCTCTAGTTCCTTCCCTAGATATGTATTTCCTTACTGGTTTTTTGAGCAGGGTTTCTCAGTGTAGCTTAGGCTGGTCTGGAACTCACTCTGAGGAGTTCCCTGCCCTCTGCTCCATGTTAGCACTACAAAGTTCTCCCTTACACTGATCTTAAACTTGACATCATGAGGTTTTTGCTAATGGAACATCAATAAGTGCGATGTAAAGACTTGACAATTGCTTGTGCACAGGCTTGCACTCTCAGGATGCTGTTTCTGCTCTAAAGCAAATAAGTCATGTAGCTACAGCTGTGTGGGATGCTGAGGCTGAGCTTGAGCCCAGGAATCTGAGCTGAGCCCAGGCAGCTTAGTGATGCCCCATCTCAAAAGAGGGCAGAGCCAAGGGAGGTAGGGGAAGACAGGGAAGCAACAGTGCTCACGAGCACCAAGCTGCCCCACTGGAGAGATTATGGGAAGGAGACCGAGAAAGCCACTGAAGGCCAAATGATAAAGTTGAGTTAGTGATGCCAGAACTGTTCATTCTTGAATAAATAACATTTAAAACTCTGTTTTAGAGTGCTTTCTTTGTTTTAGATTTATTTATTCTATGAGTGTTTTGCCTGTGTGTATGTATATATATGTATGTATGCCTGGTACTAGACTCAGAAGAGGGTGTCAGATCCTCTTTAACTACAGTTACAAATGACTATGAGCCATCATGTGGGTACTGGAAGCCAAACTCAGGTCTTCTAAAGGAGCAGCCAGTGCTTTTAACTACAGTGGTCTCTGTAGCCACTAGAGTGGTTTCCTTTTCACTCTTCCTTCCTTCCTTCTTCTCTTTCCCTTCTTTTCTCTCTTTCTCTCTTTTTTCTTTTCAAGATAGGGATTCTCCGTATAGCCTTGACTGTCCTAGAATTCTTTCTGTAAACCAGGCTGGCCTTGAACTCAGGGGTCTGTCTTCCTCTGATTCCCAAGTGCTGATATTAAGGTGTACACCATCACTGCCTGGCTACTTAGGGGATTTTCTCCAGAAGTTCCATCCAATCACATCTGTTCAAATTTTGTTTCCTAGAAAGTCAACATATTGCCATATACACAAAGTATGCCAGAGAGAATATAAAATAATTGTCCATGTGCACATAATACTATCTCCAACACAACTGCATTTTTTTTTGAGACAGAATCCCACTCTGTAGTCCAGACTGGCCTGGAACTCACTAGCTCAGGCTGGCTCCAAATTCATGATGATGAGTTTGAAACACTGTGTCTGGCTTTACAATTGTACTCTTTGTCTGTTGAGACAGGGTTTTTCTGTGTAACAGCCCTAGCTGTCCTGGAACTCACTCTGTAGACCAGGCTGGACTCGAACTCAAAGAGATCCACCTGCCCCTGCCTCCCAAGTGCTGGGAGTAAAGGTGTGCACCACCACCACCAGTTACAATTGTATTCTTAAAAAGG